GAATGAATGAATAATAAATAAATAATGACAATAGAAACTAAAAAAAGAAAATATTTTCCAATTGCATATAACGAAAACAATAGGTCGTTAAAAATATTGCAATGTATATATCAACATATAAAACTAGTTTCAAAAATAATTATGAACTCAATGAAAACTATAGAATAKTCTTAACATTATGTAGTCATTATAAAATTTGCAAGAATTCGTCTTTACTAGATAAAGCTTTTGAATTTCTGCATTATCACTCTTAACCAACATATATCGCTTCAAAAACGAATTAACTATTGGCAAACAGTTTAACAAATCTTTAAATATATGTATGAACTAATACCAATATATTATTTTGTTGCAAGTTCTCTATTACACCTGTCTTACTTTACTTTTTAAGTGGGCCCTTTAACCGTATTATAAAATGAAGTAACAGAATATAAACTTACGAATATTTATTCTTTCAGTCGACTAAAAGTAGGTCATTAAATTAACGCACCGAGTAAAAAAAATCTAATTAAAAACTAATTTTTGAGAATGAATTTTTTTTTTTGTCATTTGTGATATCTAAGATAATGACTGATTTTGATTAGTGAATTCAGTAAAAGTTAGTTTATACCACAAAAATATGAATAAAATAAATGCAAGTCTTACCAGAAATATGACCCAATTTTAATTGTCACTAACAAGAACCTTGGACGATGTATTTGTGGAGCACGTTCAACGACATAGATTAAGTTAATGTTCTCATAGAAACGGAAATATTCATGTAAATATGTTGTACATTTTATAGGTGTTTAGTTAATGGGCGCCAAAGCTCTGTTTTAAATAGGAGAATTAWTGTAGCAACATTTATATTGAGCCTTAATTATAAGGTATTCATTAATCTTCGGCCGGATTTACACTTAGTTCTATTATCATGCATCGTATTTCCTCTGATCATACACCAGTTAGATCTCAAGAAGATATAACTAGCTAAAAACTAGTGTGAGCTGCGTCGGTGTTTCTAATGAATCAGTAATGACAAAATGGTCAATTTTATACCATGAAAAGATGAAAAAACTTACTGACGTTTCAGACGCTAGTCCTTCGTGGGAGTAAACGAGCAAGAAGTGGTAGAAAGGAGTGTTTATATAATGAGAACGAGACAAAAGAAACCAATGAGAACAAGGTGGGCAAAGAAACGAAAGAAACAATAAAAAGACAAAAGAGTGGGTTAGTTAAAAGCAAAGCGTTCATTAATTTTGTTGGGACTAAGAGTGCCCAACAGGTGAATAAGCCGCATTTCTTTGGTCTTGCGACAATCATTGTTGCCGTTAATCAAAGAAAGTCAGAAAAAGAGAATGGTTAGCTAGATTAAAATGGCGGGAAACTGGTTTGGTATAGATCTCTGTTAAATCTCAGTTTGCAATGGCTCGGAAGACCTGGTAAAATGGCGATTCCTTCTCCTTTAAAGAAATAGGGGCACACGTTTATCAATGCTTAGTTGGCAACTGTCATTGGTCACCCTCTCTAAAATATAGCTGGTAATTTTTACTTTGTATACATTAGTCCAGASCAAACTCATTAATAATTCATGAGGAAAACACAATAGAAATCAAGACCGTGAAGAGTTTTGTAAATCAGATACAGAATCGTATTCATTTGCATAAACTCTAAGATGGATTTTCTTGTGCAGATTCACTTTTATCTTGAAAATTTTTTGTGAAAGTAATATACAATATTCGTTTCCGTGTTGTATCCAATATACAAACTCTCCACGCCTTGAGATTGTATATCGGAAACAACACGGCCATGCACTCATACCGTATATATTGATGGTTTTCACGGCGGCCATGTTTGAGGAACTTGACGAAAGAATTGTCAATKAATTCTTTTGTTATATCCTCCAACATGGCCGCCGTGTCTTTTGTTATTTAATTCTCTTGGGAAAGGGTGTAAACCTTCAATTACGTATAAACCGGATTGCAAGTACGTTATCATTTTTAATCTTCTTCCTTCCTTCCTTCCTTCCTTCCTTCCTTCCTTCCTTCCTTCTTTCCTTACTTCCTTCCTTCCTTCACTAACACATGTATTAGCAGAAAGAATAATAGGACGATTAATATACTTTCAATTTCTAATCTATCAAATAGTTACTATTGACTTCTGTAAAATCATTAAATAAAGTTATAGTTATGACATGCAAAGACACACCTGATTACGTTAACGTTGTCATATACTTATTTCAATAAAGTTAGTCACCAAAAACCTAGAAAGCTGTGATCGCTGAGAATCATGGGAAATGTTTTATATCCAACAAGTAAAGCTTTTGACACTAACTGCAGCAGTTGAGGATGTTCAGAGGAGGTGAGACTGTAACTGGTAGAAGATCTCAAGTCCATCAACAGTTATCAAGCGGTTGAAACATGTAAAATGTATCTACCCATAATCCTTGTCGGTCTCAGCTTYGTAGCTTTTCAGGTGACTAACTTTATTGAAATAAGTGTATRACAGCTATTTTCATCAATTTAGGGGGACGTAGAAATTAAGATTAATTTTAAAAATATTTCTATTGAATATACTTTTTTTTTTTGTATATATTTTGATATGACAACGTTCTTGCGATTAGATGTAAATGTGGAACAATTTGACCCGTATTTTCTTTTGGTTGAATTTGATTTGAAAGGAGTCACGGTGATCGATTGCCATGTTTCTCKAGCCAGAGTCGATTTTGAACAATAAACAATTGGATGCCAGGATGGATGGATGGTTGTTATAAATAGGATAGATTCATAAACGAACTATAAATGAATGGATAAATGGGATAGATGTATAAATGAACTAAACTGTTTCTTAGTGCATGCATGTCTTAAATTTTCAATTTCATAAACTTTTAAAACATTTTAAAAACTATAAACTAAACATGTCTCATCAAAACTAAGACTCAAATTATTAGCATATAATTGATAATTTTCCTGCAATAATTGATATCACACGAAGGGCGATCTTAAAGGTAAAACAATAACAAACTGAAACAACATAACACAACACAAAACTATTAGGGTTTGATGAAGATTTTCACTTATTTTTCGAGCGTGGTTTGTTACGATTCATTGGCTTTTGACAACGGCGTAATTCATAGCTGAGGTTTTGATGATGGTTTTTAATTTTTTTCGAGCGTGGCTTATTATAGTCTCCCCCAACAGCCGCTTTCAGTGTCGTCACGCAACGCTTGATGACACTGAAAGCGGCTGTGGGGGAGACTAGGTTTATTACGATGTATTAGCTTTTAATAGCGGCGTTTTTTTTTTTTTTTGAGATTTTTTATTTGTATCTTACTGACTTTTTTATGCTAGAATAATGATATAAATAGCTTACGGCACTCGTTTAACAATTGGATAGACAAGTAGAAACAAAAATATTGCGAAGACAAAGTATAAGAGAGAAAGAAGAAGAAGAAGAAGAAGAAGAAGAAGAAGAAGAAGAAGAAGAAGAAGAAGGAGAAGAAGAAGAAGAAGAAGAAGAGGAAGAGGAAGAAGAAAAAGAAAAAGAAAAAGACAAACAAACAAACAAACAACAATAATAATAATAATAATAGTAGTGGGAATGATAGTAAGGTGCGGCTAATAGGGTTTGGCGTTTGGTTTAGCGTTTTCGACCTAAGTAAATCCAACCTCGATAGCAGAAGTCCTCAAGACAAACAAATAACAAACTGATACATAATCCAACACTATTAATATTATATTTACATAAAGAGGGTTCTTATTTGAGAAACCTTTTCAACTTAAGTAAACYAAATCCCTTTTAATGTCAAGAATCTATTCTTTTCGAGCTTTTAAGTAGCATCGTGTTTCTTTTTAAAAGTGATATTTCTTTAATTGAATTTGTGAGAGCATTTGTTTTTTTAATTCGTTTAATTTGATGCAGAAATTTTGATCTCCTCCGTGGCAGGAGGCATTTGACAGCGGGTAATTGCTAAACTACTTGCTTCAAATAATATTTTCCAAGACGAAAAAATAATTAGTATTTCAAGTTAACTACAGGGAATTATTGTCCCGATAAAATAGAATAAAAACACGAAACTAAAAMCTCCGTATGTTAACAATTTACACAAATAAAGTAAAACCGATTTTTTTCCGTTTCGTTTTCGAGATTGCTAGATTGTGCAATGTTCAAAATTAGAAAATATTTAAGATGATTTCTTATAGTATCCTTTTTAGATTTGCTAACTTTTCAATACAAGATTATCGGAGATATCAAGGAAAATCAATTAAACGTACTGTTAACAGCTTTTGGTATTGTATATTATTCTAGGTGCACTGTCTTTTTATATTCATTGTCTTTGAGATACAATAAAGACTCTTGTTTGGGTTAGAGAAGAGAACGATAAGGACATCCAAGAAGATTAAATGTGGTAGTGATTATTGTTAGTGGATTATAGACAACTATGTTTGACAAAAAATCCTTAATTTCTTAAAAATATATACGAATATTCCCCAGCTAAAACTAATGCTTACRTAATAGATCAAAAGAAAACAATAAAATAAATATTCTATATCTCAGAACTTCTCAGACCGAATTAAACACCAAATATATTATTCTAAAACCATCATGCTATAAATAATTTAACTCACCTCGAATCTCACCGTCTTAACGTGGCCGCTGTTGCGAAGACGTGTCAGTTAATGTCGTCCTATTCACTAGAGTCCATACATATATCATCTGTTCGGATTCCACTGTCCCACACAGAGTTAAACAGACTTACATATGTTAATTAACGTACTCGAAGCCTGACGTTTTTATGAATTGTTTTTTAAAATTTTATTGACGCAGGAACCAGTTTAAAATTGACACTTACCAGAAGCAATCGACTGGGTAAATAATAATTTTTGGTATTTATTTTAGAAAGAGAAATGTGATATAAATGAAGAAATCTATCTCTCTATATTTCTCTCCCTCTCTTTCTCTCGCTCCTCTCTCTCCCTCTATCTCTCTCTCTCTCTCTCTCTCT